ATCCTACATGTACATATCGGCAGCATTTTCCTTGCGATAGTAACTCCTAGTAATAATTAATAAATTCCGAGCACGTGCAAGGAATTTTTGGTAGGCGAATAAGGAAACGTATTGATGCGAACAAACTTACAAACGGACAAACTAACAAACTAACAAACAAACTCACAGGCAGAATATAATGCGGTGCCCAAACTTGGGCGGGGCACCGCAATACATGCACTAACTACAACATGACGTGGAGATCCTATAAGTATGCGTGCTGAATTGCATTTCAGACACACAGATTTCCATGATCTTGGATCATCCGAATCGAAAATTGTTTGAGATGCTGTCAAATAATGTTCTTTTAGCAAGCTTCTAAAGCGTAATAAAGATGTATCCATGCGGCGCATTTCGTCAGGTAGGTTGTTCCAAACTCTGCACGTGCGTGAGAAAAACGATCGTTGAAAAGTTATTATGGTTTTACATCTTTTAGGATGAAAGTAGAGTAGACTGGCATGTGCTAAAACCTGGACTGGACTATGGACTGGACTGGATTTTGGACTGGATTATGGACTGGATTTTGGACTGGATTTTGGACTGGATTATGGACTGGATTTTGGACTGGATTATGGACTGGATTTTGGACTGGATTTTGGACTGGATTATGGACTGGATTTTGGACTGGATTATGGACTGGATTATGGACTGGATTATGGACTGGATTATGGACTGGATTATGGACTGGATTATGGACTGGACTATGGACTGGACTGGACTGGACTATGGATTGGACGATGGACTGGACGATGGACTGGACGCATTTGTGCTAAAACCTGGGATTTTTATTTAGCTACAGCCGTTTCAACGAATTCATTCGACGTCTCCGGCTATGACTTTGTCACTATAGACACTGTACTATTACCCTGGTTCCAGAGGTTTAAAATAAACCTCTGGTTGAAAGCGGCAATTGATTCATCGAGCCGCGCCAATCAGTTTAAATTAGGGTCAGATCCTGACTCTGTCTCCTGATTGGATGATTGTATTAAAGTTCTCTGATTGGT